CCAACACAAGAAGAACATGCAAACCCCACACACACAGAGCCAGAGGGGGAATTAAACACCGGCGAGCCTGCAACCTCAGAGGAATGGGGGCCACAGCTCATCTCACTGAGTCATTAAAATACGTGAGAGTGAAATTTAAAATGTTTGAAAAGTGTTTCTGGTTCACTTGAGACTAGATAAATATATATTTTTAGCATCTTCCCTAAAGATGTTTATTACAAAACTGTCCTGGTTTAGCAGTGAAAATGTGTGCAAAACTCTGTACTCAGCAGGAGTCAGATGCTCACTTCTACAGCTTCCGAACGTCGGAGGTGCCGATGTGACGTACTCGCTGGCTCCCCAGGTCAGCCCCCATACCTCATGCCCCCGGGGCTCGTGAGCCAGGGCTCCCAAAGGGGGGGCCTCGAGAGGCTGTCAGCACTGTCATCTCCAGGGCTGACGTAGCTGGGGTGTCCCAGATACACTGGGGCTCCTTCACCACAGCAACCCCCCCCCCCAAACCCTCCCACGCATCTCAGGCTCCTCTCCAATTCGCCTCCGGCTGCAGTCACCTAGCACCGGGGGGGGGGGGGCTCCGGAGCAGCGTCAGCTCTTTCCACTTCCGTGCTGATAATTCATACAAATGTAAACGTTTATTTGTGTGGCATATAGCATTTTAAAATGATTTTGTTCTCATTACTTTCGACACAGGGGCCACAGCGACCAGCAGGCACGTTAAGCATTTAAACTGATATATTTATAACTATATTTCTCCTCCCTCAGCGCTTTTTAACATTTAGGCCTGCAGTTCTCATTGGATAATTGAAAATGTTATTTATTCAGTAGGTGGAGGACTGTAGTGGGGTTTGGTAACAGCCAAAACTGGAGTTCATTATAGCCTTTCTGTAAAATTGTCTTACTTAGCTCAAGTATATAGCAAAGTAGCCACTTTCAGTGTATTAAATTCAGGAGTGTAGTTTCTGTGTTTGATTAGGCCATACGTTTTGTTGTACAATAACTTAAGTCCTAGTAGGAAAGGAATTTACATCATTATTACTGACAAACAGGATTTGAAAATATCACAAATGCGTATGTCCTTTTCAGAGTGTAAGCTTCAATGACCATTAGGTTTTGCAGAATATAGAAATGTGTAATTTGCAAGTTTGGATTACACCTTTTTAATATTAATATGTGCAACTCTAATGACATAGAGCCATCGCCTATAGAATGTACCCTTTAAATTATCCATGACCCTTTAACATGACATGGCCGTTAATCACTTGTTGTGTTCCAGTTGGCATCATTAGATCATCAGATCAGTTATGAGCAGGAATCATCATCCTGTCCACACACAGACAAACGCTAGTTAGCCTCCGTGTTAAAATGAAGGCTACGTTTCTAAATGCGAGGTCCATTGTAAAAATTCTATTTTGATATCAGTGTCCATCAGAATTCACCAGACACATGGCCTGTCATACTTTGAACAGTGAGAGCGATTCGCTTCTCAGTTAGAATGTTTGTCGTCTTCCTGTGTTTTCCAGCTGCAACACACAGCTATAGCAATGCTGAGAGTCACAGAGACGGCCATGGTGCAGCAGTATGTAGTCAAACATGCCGAATAGCTAATCGCAAAGTTTCTGCTCCTCACAGAGAGTCACTCAGTCATTCTCAATTATTTTAATCATTCCGATTGCAATACAAATGCTTTGTGACACTTAATCCCTTCACGTATTATAACTGTCACAGTTCCAGGCCAGTTACATTGATCTATAGAGCAGCAGTGATTGTATAATATATCTCCATCGACACAAAGAACAACAGTCCTCCCAATGTTATGTAACAGTGCCTTTCATTCAAACACAGTTGCACGACAACTGCAGAGAGACTTTTTTTTCTACCAAAGAACTAAAATCTGAATTCTTTGTTTTGTCCTGAACTATAACTTCTTACACACTGATTTACCAATCCGCAATTGTGTATTTGTTTGTAATTTAACTTTTTTAAGTTTCATGATTTGCATTGATAAGACTTTTTGTCCCGGAATGTAGTATGTAATAGACATTGTCCAAATATAAATATTTTTGAGTGTTATACATTGTTTATAGTCTTTTGTGAGGAGAATGTGACAGTGCACCCTTTATTAACAGCATGCAGGTTTTTGTAAATACAACTAATCATTTTTAAATCTTTGAGTTTTGTGTGCCATTTGTTATAATGCTTACCTCAGTCTGGTATTGGCAAGATGTGTCTGTCTATCTACCTATCTGTTTTTACATTATGCATTTGAAAAGTGGTTACATGCCTGATTAAACATTTAATTGTTATATATTGGCATTGTTGGTTGGTTACTGTCATTGTACGTTACCATCAGTAATGCTGTTTTCCACCTTTTGCTGAAGTAAAGGGTCAGTTTCCTGGTGCTTTGTTCCATTGAACCACACGTTTGGGGGTATTTGCTTGAAAGCCCAGGTGCTGCTGTCTGCCAGCGGGGTTTCTGATGTGCCGTGCTGTATGGGGTGTAAATCACAGTGTCTGGGTCTGTGTGCGGCATTAAAATGGAGCTTAATGACAGTGTGGCCCCACCCCAAAGACAAAGGAGAGCGTTAATTGGGCGCGGGCGGACGGTGGGGGGGGGCATGCCAGGAGCGATGGGAACCTGGGTGGAAACACACTCATTTTCTCCTCTCACACACTCAGAGCCCTGCTGTTTTCCAGGAAACAAATAACGGCTTAGTCAGAGCGCCCCCGAGTGTGGCCACTCACCAAAAATAGGCACGGCGCACGGCGCGGGCGAGCACAGAACACGGGGGCCGTAATCGCCCTCTTCCTGCTCCTCAGGCGACCGTTACGGGCCATGCAAGGGGGAGGTCGGGACCCCACAATTTAGCACGGGTCACTGCAGATCTTGCTAATTAGCGGGAGCGGCGGGCTGCAAGAACGGGGAGGGGAGGAATATGTGACAGAAAAAAAACACCCGCAAAACGAACTGCTGTGCAGCTGCGGCAGTGTCACAGCGAATGAGATCGATACGCTCGGTGCCCCGCTGTCCACGCTGACAGATTTTGGGGATCGTGCAGGACTGCAGGCCTGGGGAATGATGGGCAGCATACAGCCCAGCCGGGGCTTGGTAGCGTGTCTTTAAATTCCTTTTATTTGCTGACCGCTTCGTTTGCATCGCCAGCTTCTGTTTCCTCAAAATGCCTATCAAGCTGCTCTTGGCTTTAAGACTGACATGTTTGGGGATGGAAAGTGATGGAAAATATTTAAACCGACCCTAATTAAAACCGTATAAAAACAGCAGTGCATCAATTGTATTTGCAATTCTACCCGGTAATTAACAACAGGAACAAATGTAACCATTATTGTAATGAAGCGTTTTGGCTTGTCTTGTCCATTAGGGTGTGTTTATTCTTTTATTATAATGGGCTCTTCTTGTTCCGTTTTTACATTTTTAGATGTAAGTTTGTTTTGTTTTTTTTGTTATTATTTACCTGCCTCCATTAGCTGGCATTTTCTGTTATGCAAATCAGAGTTTGGGGGGGGGGGGAGTCTGAATCAGTAGATTTAAGCAAAAATTCAAATAACGAAATGCAATGAAAGGCGTCCACTGGCTCTGATGGCACAGGACTGTCACCCTGACTTAGGCCTGCATGCTACAGACGGCTGTCGGAAAGCAGCAAAGGGTTCCAGAGAGTGTTCCGGGGAAAGGGTCCTCGCTGAGGCGTGACGCCCGCAGCCAGCGCGGCCGGCGCTCGGACGGGCCCCATGCCGGCCCGATCCCACAGGCCCGTGGGAGAGAGCGCCAGACGGCAGCTGGGGCACCTGCCAGGGCTATTTCGGGCGTGTGGCGCAGTGGGCTGTACCCGCTCCCCATGCACGCGCAGAGCAGCCCGTTGTTGTGACAGGCGGCGCTCAGGCCGCCAGCCCGTGTTGGTCCATAATCTGCAGCTTCTGCCCACATCAGTGTGTCTATGCGAGTGTGTGTCGCAGTATGTGCGTGAGACTCCTGGGGGTGGAGTGGAGGTACCCAATGGGGGGGGGGGAGATGGCGCTTTTGTCTCGGGGAAGCAGCTGAGCCTGGAGACGTCCTGCTGCCCACGCTGCCGTGGCGCAGGTCCGGCTCGCTGGTGGGTGGGATCCCCGCTTGGAAACGCCTCCGGCTGCAGCAGCTGCTTTGGTCGCTTCTCTGTCCTCCTGGGGGTCACAGCTTCCTCTCCCCAGTCATGCTAGAGTTTGGGCAGGCCGAGGGTTGGAGCCATTCTGCTGGGGGGCAGGGCCATGGGAGGAATCCACAAGGGAGCGACCCAGGAACCTGACAGGAATCCGCTGTTTTATGAGGGTGGGGGGTGGCAATAAGAACAAGGCTGTTTGCCGCAGCACACAGGACCAGCCGCACTGGCGGGACATGCTCCTGCACAGCTGTGATGGTGAGGGACTCAATGTTTGAGGGACTGGACGTTGCTCCAATGGGCCAACTAATACCCGTCTAGGTTTCCCCCGTGAAACACCACAGTCTTGCAGTTTGCTCCATGATGTTGCCTAACATTTGCGAGAGAAAACGCAGCTATATTAACCACACTATGAGTGTGCGGGCCTGTAGTTATTTCTGTGGTTCTATTTTGGAACCACAACGGAGTACCACTGTCGGATCAGCATCAGTGACATCCGCGTCGAGTCAAGAATATCCTCCCCAGGACCAGGGTAATCCGTAGAGAGTGAGGCAGAGAACCATGTTTGGCATGGGGAGAACAGTTCCTATTCTGCCCCGAGCCGGAGCCCCAATCGTGTTTATGGGCCCAAGGGGAGGAGTTCTGCCTTCTTGATTCACCGTTGAGCATAGCATAGCCTCCGGCGGGGGGGGGGGGATGTCGAGTGAGAGATATTGTGAGGATGTTGAATCTTGAATCGGCCACTGGGTGCAGTGATCTGGAAGCGCTAACCTGTGCAGTTTTGTGAGACACCTGGGTACCTGGAAGTCCCCGTCTCTCCTTTTAATGTGACACTCCCTTTCTCCATTCCAGGACAGAGCCTGGGCTACGGATTCGTGAACTACATTGACCCAAAGGATGCGGAGAAAGCCATCAACACATTAAACGGACTCAGACTTCAAACCAAAACCATCAAGGTAAGCTCAAAAAGAGCACTTTACTACAGCATGGCTGGCAGGTCCGCAATGGCATGCCGGTCCACCATGGCATGGGCGGCGGGTCCACCATGGCATGGGCAGCGGGGCCGCGACGGCATGGGCGGCAGGACCACGATGACACGGGTGGCAGGTCCACGATGACACGGGAGGCGGATCCACGATGAAATGGGCAGCAGGTCCACGATGGCATGGGCAGCGGGTCCACGATGGCATGGCTGGCAGGTCCGTGATGGTATGGACGGCAGGTCCGTGATGGTATGGCTGGCAGGTCCGTGATGGTATGGACGGCAGGTCTGTGACAGAATAGGCGGTGGGTCCGCTACGACAGCAGGCAGCACACGGAGCAGGACAAACAAACACAAATAGCGAGGAGCGATCAGATGGTACTGTGGGGGGGCTCGCGGGGTGGGGGTGGGAGGGGGTGCCTTCCCTCTGCTGTCACATGCACAGAGGTGTTCTGATACCCGTCTGAAGGCAGACCTGAGAGCCAGTATGCGGCAGCGTTGGCCTGGGCACATCGCCGTCAGTGTGGCATTCCTCCAAGGACATCCGCACCTGGCTAATTCCCCTCCCTCATCCCCTGGAAAGAGGCGTGCGTCATGGCACACGGCACGGGCTTGCGAGGCGGCCCTCTAAAGGGCCCCGAAAGAATGGCCAGTGGGATAATGAGCTTCCAGAGGTTGTAATGCCGAAGTAGAACAGCGGGAATAAATAAAAATGGACATTAATGGAGAGGACTGCTCCACGCTGGTGTGGGAACATGGCGGAGAGACTGCTGTAATAACAACGTTAGCCTGCGGAAGGCGCACTCCCCGTCCCGGAAAATAAACAAAAGCGGACCCTTTCTCTGCCATAATGACCCTGATCATCTTATGCGCATCTGAACCTAAACAGGAGAATTATGATGATTATCACAAATCACGATATGGAAGGTGGCTTTGGCAGCCTAACAGTCAATTAAGAGAGAAAGCCGCCGATGGCTGCTTGCGTAGGATTCAGGTGCTGAGCAGTAGTTAAAAAAATCAGGGAGGCAGATAAAGTGTTTATGGGAGGTGCAAAACCAGCCTACGGATGAAAGTAATATATATTACAATAAATGTTTGGTGGTATCTGATGTTTTTATGGGTGTAAATTTAGGCCCAAATTAGACCAGAATTAGATTAGTCTCCTGGACAGGCAGAAGAATTTAATTCATGTGTGTACCCTGCCAATCACAGTGAAATGATGTAAGCTAATTACAGTGTTACGAAGATAAGATAGGGTCCTGTGGTACAGACCTGGGGGTGAATGCAGTCGCTAGCCAAAACACTAGCTGCTGATTGACATTCTCCCAGGAACGTTAACCATTAGGGTGAGGACATGCCTTTGAGGTGGACCCCGAAGGTGGGGAAACGGGTCGCGATCAGCTGGGAAGTAGCTGAATCCTGCGTGACTAGAGTGATCTTCAGCTGGGGATTAGCGACTCTGTGCATCCTACTCGACAGAGAATGAGTCACTCAATTAATATTCTCTCCGTGCTGCCGCCACCCCCCTGCTACTTTTGGGTGAGCTACCACTCTAAAATGACGCCGCGAAAACAGGCGTGTATCACAGGGGGGTTTACAGCCGTCTTAAGCCAAGTCCTCCAAGATGGTGAGCTTCTGCAGCCAGGCTAGTCTTAAGGAACACCAAGCTGACAGAGAGCATGAAACACAGATACTACAGATACTTGAGGGAGGGGACACAGAGTGAAGTGAAGCACTTATTTTTTGAACACCACTGTATTTCCCCTGTGAAAATATCTACACTGCAGCAGTCAGGAGACTGCTATAAAACTGTAGGCAGTAAGGCCTGGGGCACAGTGGCTGCAGGTTCGAACTGCTCACATTAACACACTCATCGAAAAAGAGCTACCTTCAGCCCTGTTCCAGCCTTCAGAGGGGAAGGTGCTCGTCTCATTCCCCTCTTTCGATTAGTGTTCTCTCCCATTTCAGTTCAGTTTTAGGGAGTATTTAGTCATTCCGATCACTGTGGGACAGACCACCCCAGGAAAAAAGGGGGTGTGTGAATGCCTCTTCTACATTTCCTGAAAAGTGTGGTCAAGGTCATCCTGCTCTTCAAATATCCAGTGGCTGCCACAGGCCGTTATTTCTGCACCAGAGGTTATCTTGAGAAGCCATGCAGATGAAGACAGGCTCCCTAATAGCAGCAGACAAGCCGGCCTCGCAGCTGAGCGCGCCGCTGTCTTTCGGGAAAGTCAGATGGGCGGTTCTCGGAATTGCAGGACAGCTCGCTGCGGAGAAGGAAAACACGTTTGCTGGAGAGCGAGGGGGGTGGAGACAGAGGAAAAGAGAGAGAGAGAGAGCGTGAGACTGGGTTTGTGGGGAGAATGGCTGTGATTTGGGGGCAGGCCTGTGTATGAGGGGGGGGGGGGGCTCCTCTCTGATGGCACACCAGCTGCCGGCCTCCAGAGCATGACTGAAGCTCCTGATCTCCTTGACTCTGATCTCACCTTCAGGCCAACAGCTCACGCCCTGCTCACCCTCAGTGACAGGGGGGGTTGGGGGGGGGGGAGGCAGAGAGCCAGGAGGCTCTAATCCTAACCCTCCTCTGATGACCCTTTGGTCTGCGTCAGTATATGCATTTCAGCCCCTATTACTGGTGATTTCACGCATGCTTTTTTCCCTCTGTTATTGCGTGTTTCTCCTCATGGGGTGGGGGGGTGGAGGCAAGGCACCCAGCAGAGGTGAGAAGAACATCGCCTCCTGCAGGAGAGACGGGGTTCAACAACCTGACAAAGTGTTGATGGATCAGGCATCTGGATTCGCCAGACTAGAAGAGATGGGGGGGCAAGGGGGGGGGGCAAAGAGAGGGAATGTGGAGAAAAAAAGAACAAAGGAGGGATGGAGGACAGAGTCGTTTATCGCTCAGAATGTTATCGTTTTGTGTTTTGAATTATAACTGCAGTTTCTCTGCTTTCCTTCATAATTAATTGTTGATGAATTGGAAATGCAGCCGGAAACATTCCCTGCATGCGCCTTGGCAGTCGAGTATACATTTAATTTTAAAATTGGATGTAAAACATAGACAACGACTTGGCAGTAAATGAAACCGTAGCGAATCGGCACGGTTCGTTTAGGGCCGGCGCCCATGGCTCCCTGTAAACGCCTAAATCAGCCAGGCGATTTGTTTTAGGTTAGGCGTGTTTTTCACATGTGGAGAAAGGAAATGATTTTAGACGGTTTGCTTTTTAGTGTGGACACCCTGGAAATATAACGGCGGCTGTCCACAAAAACGTCGGTGGGTCTGGGTACTATCAGAAGGAGTATGTCGTGGATGAAGCCTGAGGCTGCTGTCCATGGTACTGGCTGGACACAGCGTGGGGGCTCTCTCTGCAGTCTCAGCCCCCCCAGGTAGCAAGATAAGCCAGAGGCCCCCCACTGCGATGCCGCCTAAGACACGTGTCTGTGGCGTGTTCTCACTCTCAGGCATGTTCTGGTACCTTCAGGCGCGTGTGCACACGCGTGCCATTTGAGAGTGCTGTGAGTCACCACTCACGCTCAGCGGGTGTGTGTGGGGGGGGCGGCATTAATCGTACGTGCGTAGTGAAAGGAATTAAGTAAGTTTGAAGCCAGAAGCAGGCAACTGTGATGATTTTTAGCTGGCAGTGAAAGGGGAGGGGCATTCAAAGGAGCAGGAATGGTAATGGCAAGCAGCTCTCTGTGGAGCCCTACAGGCCCAAGCGGAGGCCCCGAGGTCAAACAGGAAGGTCAAACTGGGAGTCCAATCAATGAGTCCAGTTTCATTAGGTATGGCACATTTTTATCACACCAGTCACTTTAAATTGTGGCTCAAACCATTAAAAAATTTATAATTATTAATTATTATTACTCAGCATTAAATAATTTGAATTTTAGACTTATTGTTTATGAAAACCTCTTATGGAGCACCCCCCAATTGTTAAAGTTACTTTATTTCCTTTTTCCATATTTCTTAGTTACTTTATAAAAAATGAATGTTTTCACATAAATTAATGATGTGTCTTAAATGACAAATAAAAGGTGAACGACTAAGGTAAACTGCATATTAATCTAAGCATTACAGTGTGACAGGTGTAGTAGCATGCTTTCTGCCTGGCGGTTTGTATGTTGTTCTCTTTACGCCCACTGGGGGAGCAGTTCTGCCCTCTGTAAATGTAGTGTAGTATACCGTTCGCTGACATTACTCCCAGAATACCCCATGTCTTCCTGTCTCCCTGCCCCGCACAGGTATCATACGCACGGCCCAGCTCAGCCTCCATCCGAGACGCCAACCTCTACGTAAGCGGCCTCCCCAAGACCATGACGCAGAAGGAACTGGAGCAGCTCTTCTCCCAGTACGGGCGCATCATCACGTCCCGCATCCTGGTGGACCAGGTCACAGGTATCCATGGGCCGGCTGTTTATCCACACACACAGACGTGCACGTGCCGGTCACATTGTTTGCCGTGGAAGGTCACGTGGGGAGAGGGATCGCGCCGTTTCCATAGGTTTAGATGTATTCACTTTCCAAACTGTGGACCAGCTGTACCCCTGAGGTCCCGCCTACAAGAGATTCTGTTTAGTTTATCCACAAATTGCAATGAGAGAGGATGACACACGCTGTCTGTGCTCAGGAGCTGCCTGCTTTCACGTCATCCAGAGAACGACAAAACATTTGACCTGCCTACAATCTCAGCATGCAGTGCTGACAGCAGGGGCATTTCTAGCTATTGAAAAAAAATCAGGGGCTAAGTCAAGTTTATCTGGAGCTTAACTTTGTTTTTTTGAAGGAACAGTGGCATTGGGGGTAATATACTGTACTCAGGGTCAGGCTTAAAATACCCAGGGCTGTAACCCGAGTGATCGGATCTAACGACTCCCATGGCTGACAGAACAAATTAGCTAACAGACAGTCAGAAAAAAGGGTACCAGTTTGTACCTTTGCTTGTCACTGGGGCTGTACCATCAAGGGTCTGCCAATTGTACCCTTAGCTGTATGTAACTTGGAAATGGACAAACAACACTACTTCACCCCCAATGGTATAAAAATGTTCCTCAGATTCCATTTCTGTATCTTAATAGGTACATTCACCCTTGAGGGTACAGTCCCAATGACAGCAAAAGTACAAATTGGTACCCTTCTTTCTGAGAGTGTAGGTGCTGATAAATAGTGGACACCAAAGTGTAGACGCAGTTTGGACCAACCTCATTCCACCAGTCTGACCATTGTGTGTGGGGGGGGGAGGTCAGGAACATAGAAACCACAGAGGACGTGTACTCCCAATATTTAATTTCGCTTCATTCACCCCCCCTCCATACATAGACCTTTGTACCTTGGTATATACATTATTAAGTTGTGCACCCCCAATATGAAACTCTCTCCTGAGTCACTGGGGAGCTCTGTACGATGTCCCCCGGTGCTCAAACGACCCCGCGGTGCTCCACCCACCCATCGAATCCATTTCCTGCCCAACCTCAGGAGGCCGGGCCCCAGGGAATAGGGGGGGCAGGTCTGCTGGAGGAATTTTAATGACTAATTAAATTTTAGTTGCTAGTAATTAAGAAACAAGGAGGACTTGGGAGGGACGAGAGGAAGCACAGCCAGTAAAGATGGTGCAGAAGGGCAGGATTCTCCAGGTAACCTCTGGGGGGGCAGGGGCTGGGGGGGCACGCTTCCAAGGAGATGCTCCTCTTCGGCTTTCACACTGAAGGCATGAGGCCTCCAGAAACTGGCCAATCAGACATTGAGAATAATGCGAGAGCGGCCTGTCACAGGCGAGCAGTGTTCAGCGTTTATTTAGACAGCCACCCTGGGTTAGACGCAGCGCCGGGCGCTATGGAAACAGGACAGCCACTGCTTATCACGGCTCTCAGCCGAGACGTCAGGAGCCACTTGCACTCGCGGCTTAAAGATGCACCGTCTGCAGCATCGCAAACCGCGTGGACCTTCCTCTGATTTCATCCCATTGTTTTTTTCCACACTCACAATTGCAGTCGACAGCACTTGAGGGATGCCACTTTGAAGTCCTTAACCAGCCTGCCCCTGCTGGCAGAGAGGTGTAGTTTCATTCATACAGTGGCCTTTCCCTCATGCTTCCATGCATTATTGATCTGTGACTCAGCAGATCCCGATGGGGGCATTTGGAGCTGTACAAAACTGCAGTCCTTGACGTTCATTTAGATTCTTCTCTGATATTTCATTGATTATTTTACGTTAATATCTCATATTTCCCCCTTTTCTGACTGAGAAGACATCAGTCACAGGATTTGTACATAATATCACCCCACTTGTTCTTCAGGGAGAAGTTCATGAAGTTCAGTAATAACTATGAGTTTAAGCACACGCTTGAATGAAAATATAATAATGGGCTGGCTTTAACTGATAATTAAATATTTTAAGCCGCTGGTCTGAGCCAAGCAAGAAGCCATCGTTCCTGTCAATAAGAGCAAGCATGTCTATTAAAAGTATATAAAATAAAATAACTTCTTCCTCTACTTGGAATCCCATGTAAGTACACCTTTAAAATTAAACCACCAAAGATAATTTGTACTTCTCACTTACAAATTATCCATCCATCCATCCATCCATCCAGCCATCTTCCATACTCCTTATCCAGTCCGGGATCGTGGGGTTCCTGCATTTTTATATAAATATTGACAGTTCAGGGCATAATGTCAACTCAGGTGTGACCACATTCTGCTATATTTGTTATGATTTCTATTTATGCTCCCATGTTGAATTATTTATGCTATAAATCATATAATGTTTTACTTTCCAAGGTCAGAAATAATTTCCTGGCTCTCCCATGTCAGTTGTAAATAGAGCATCACATCAGCACGCTTCACACACCTCATCAGCCAGACGCCTTCGATTCCACACCTTTCCGGTGCAGACCCCCCACCTCAGCACCTACCTCAGCACAAGCCAGTCTGCTGCTAACCCCGGTCCGAGTCAGCGGGAGCGCGGAGTGATTTTATTTGCTCCCCCTGTAATGTACTTGACGAACAGAGTTAATAAACATGCTTGCTAACACCCCCCCCGTATAAAAGGCTGAGCACAAAGAAAACATGTGACAAGATGGGCTTTCACAGCAGTGCCAAGGCTTTCGTTGGTAGCCCGTCCTCGGAACTTTCCAGGTTTCCAGCCCTGAAAATGTGGCTGCGGTGTGCGGCTGAGGTGTGGTGGTTGGTGGGACCAGGACACCGACAGCTACCCGTTATTAATAAGCCCTCTCTTCTCAGCAGGTGCCCTGAGTGTGTGCCCGCGCGTGTGCCAGGCTGAGATAGGTACAGGTGAGGCTGTGTAAGTCGCAATAGCAGTTACTGTGTGGAGACGTGGCATTCGGCAGGGGGGACACAGCAAGCCGGCTGTTTGCTTTGCTTTGTGTTGCCGTCACCAATCAGCCAGAAGCTCATTATTTTAACACGGGGAATGAAATAAGTGCAGAAAACAAACACTGCCATCAGGATTAAAACATTTTTTTTTGCCACAGATTTATGCTGCAGTGTCTATTTTTGCCCGCCCCTTTAAGGGCCTGCTCAGCCAGACCAAAAGCCCGGTGACAGACAGGTCCACGAACTGAGACTGTGATCAGAGGGAGCGGCTGTCAGTGTGGCGTGCTCGCCCCCTCCCATCAGTGCCCCCTGCAAGCAGGTGTGATGGGCACAACTGCAGGGGCACAAAAGTTTAACATAAGCTCACGTTCCTGGGCTTGCCAGGCCCTCTGGGGGAGGGCGATAAGTCCCCCACCCCACCTACTTACTGAGTATTGTAAACTCTTCCTCACATCTCTGCGTTATGCCTAGTCCAGCGCCCATAGAGCCTCTGCCGACAGGCAGGAGCCCGCGGGGTTGGAGAAGGTCACCTCAGAAGCCATCCAGAGAGACCACACAAACAGATCACTTTTGTGAACGCCAGGCTCTTTTCGGGTTAAAGATGAATGACTAGCCATTGGGTGATATTCATAATGCACTAGTGTGCACACATCAGAGCTGCGCTAGTGTCCTTCGGGGTATTTATGGCAGCTGAAACATTCATATGACGCAGGTCCTTTTAAAAACGAAAGGGCCGCCGTCAGCAGCTTTCCGGCCATTCGGGAACGTCTCCGGGACTTGAGTCGCCATGAGTAGGAACTTCTGGGGATGTAGTTCATCACGCACCCTGTTATGGGCACAGAAGGGAGCTGCTTCAAACCCCAAAGCAGGTTTCGTACTCATAACTCAGAGCAGCTTAACCTGGAAAGATATCCAGCACTGTAATTGGATTTATTTACTAGTCACTCTGGATAAAGGTGGGGGCTTAACATCGAAATAATTGTGTTCCGGTGTGTGTTTGGCCATGATGGAGTCACTCGTTTTTAGATTTCAGGGGTCACAAAACACAAGAATTACCGTAAGCGACTTTTCAGGTCCGCTTCAGATATGACAGCAAGCTGGAACAATCCATCGTGCCTCCATTCACCAGCACAAGGTGATCGCAGGTTGGAGTCGATGTAGGGGTGGAGGCAGGAATAAACAGATCCTGAATGGGAGGAGCAGAGAATTAGGGTCAATGAAATTGTCGCTGCACCCTGCACCATTTCATACAGGCCTCGCACCCCCTCTCCAGGCCCCTGGGGCGGGTATCCTGTCAGGGCGTTCCCTGGTGTTGGCCCGTCTGAAGCACCTCCACGGGTTGGCAGACTTGCCATCACTCGCTGGGGTCCTCCATGTGGGCGACTGTGATCCCCCCCCCCCGCCCTCCATACAGCCGCGCTTTGAGGGGGAGATGAAAGCATGACTGCTGGCTGGCACCAGCGCTCTCGCCCCTGGACCCGGCACGTGCAGCACTCACTCCGCGGCCGTGATCCCACCCTCTTCTCGCATTTATTCTGTCTCCAGGTGAAATTTCCCCGGTCGTAACGCGATTCGGCCCCTCGCTGCAGCGCCCGCTCGTTACGCGATTAGACACTATTTTTAAAATGCGGCAGAGCGAATCGGGGATGATGCAGAAAGGCACAAATACCGCGTGGTGCCGGGCGAAACAGCATGGCCCTTGGCCGTTAATTACAGAGGCAGCGGTAAGCCAGCGCTGTCAGCGTGTCTTAAAGGGCCGATGCTCAGCGTGCTGTGTCGCCCCCCCCCCAGGCGGTTCACGGGGCGTGGGCTTCATCCGCTTCGATAAGAGGATAGAGGCGGAGGAGGCCATCAAGGGGCTCAACGGGCAGAAGCCGTCCGGTGCCACCGAGCCCATCACCGTGAAGTTCGCCAACAACCCCAGCCAGAAGACCAGCCAGGCCCTGCTCTCCCAGCTGTACCAGTCCCCCAATCGCCGGTACCCAGGGCCGCTGCACCACCAGGCCCAAAGGTTCAGGTAAATAGCCCAGGTGACGCTCGACCGCGGGGATCAAGCCCTTCATTAAAGACCAGTGTGTGTCAGAGGGCTCGCGAGTGTGCATAGAGGAAATGACGTTGCATCAGAGTGTTATCGCCATACGAAAAAGGAATTAAAACGTTTGAATATGGTTATATTTGGAGATAAGCCAGTCACAAAGGCTATGTGCCATGGAGTAATCTCATTGCAGGTTCCCGGAAACAAGTCCCCACGCCTGGGCCTAACCAGCACCATTAAACGCTTGAGAGAGACTGTGCACAAGAGACAGTGGGGTTCTGTCGTTCACAATGTCTCCCCAGAGTTCCCTGCAAGTGTCATTCCCGTGTCTCACGCTGCGATCCCTTCCTTCTTATTGCCTATCCGTTCTCACCCCTATCTTCCCCTCCATTCCCAGTCTCTTCCTTACTTTTCCTTCCACTACTTTCCTCCTCTCTTCTCATTCCTGCTCCCCCCCCCCCCCCCGCCTCCCGGTCACATGCTCAGCTCCATTTTCACCTCTCATGCTGCATTAACAGTTCTAACTATTTTTAAAGTGTGATATTTTCACCTGCCACCTAACAGTTTAAATTCCACTTCTGCCATCACAGTATGAGATAAAAGGACGATCAGCCTTTTTGTTTTTTTTCCAGACAGCAGATATTTTAAACAGTGTTATTAAACACTGCTGGTTTATTGCCAGTATAAATAGTTAGACTGGAATAAGTCTTTGATTGTGTTTAGGAGAGACAGTAAGGAATCAGTGCAAACGCTCATCCCTCACGTACTGAGCAAAACGGCCATAAACCACAGGATGAAATGTTATCTAAACCTTAAAGTGCAGGAATCATTAGGAATCTGGCGCAGCAGACCAGTTGGTTAATGTTGTTTTTATGTCCCAGCCTGTGTGATTATTCTCCTCCGCCCCCCATCCAATGCTCACGACGCTTCTTGGCCTGAAATGTTCGTCTCATGAGCATCACCTGCTCAGCACAACACATTCCGGCCCAGAATTGAGTTTCCCATTACTGATGACTGTAATTAGCAAATTATCTCTATTATCTGTAGACCAGCACTTGTAATAATGGCGCTAGATTTAAAGGAGGTGTCCCATCTGCAGGCATTAGAGAAGTCGCCTCACTGTAGACCGGGGCCTTGAAGAGAGAGAGCCCAGAGTCGCCACCCAAGCCAGTCTGCTTCCGATGGACCGGCAGACGGGTCCAGAGCAGCAGCCCGCAGCAGCTTCCTCTGCGCCTCCGGTCCAATTTACTCATTTAGCCACAAAGCAGACTGTGCAGTCCCTGCCCAGATAATTGGCTAATTGCGGCTTTAATGATTCGTTACCTCCTGCCACACACACCTCATATTCCATCAAGTTCCCTGAAGGTCCAGTTTCTGTTGACCTACTGTTTACTGTTGACCTACTGTTGGTGTGGCTTGTTTTTTTAGGAGCGGGAGAGTCTGTAACTGGGAGGAAGCAGGGCAGGTTCTGGTGCAAAACCGGTCCAGTCCAGTCTGGTATTGAAATATTACTGTGGGGTCCGAAAATAGTCAGCGAAAAGAACACGTCCACTTTGGGATTTCATTATTCATTTTAAACATCTGGATATAACTTAAAAATACAAAATAAACCCTTATTTAGACTTAAACTGTAATGATAAATGCATACCCCTGAGTTTTTCCACATAAGCTAACAATTTTCAGATATCACACTTTTTTTCTTTTTTAGAATATTATAAATTTACACAGTCTCATCCACTGTTAAACCTGCCATCTTAACCATCCTGTTCAGGTACAAAACCATTACTGACAGAAATCTAAATTAACCATTCAATATTGAAAGTTTCTGACTAACACTAACAGAAGCAATTGGATTCCTGGGTGTCACATCTTACACTTCACATCAGCCTTCATTCTTCTCATCTGCTGAGTGATTCCTCATTTTTTAGGTTTTGCTGTTGAGAATTTGGTAAAAAAAAAAAAAAAAAATCAATTTGTCCATTGAATAATAAAGCCAATTATGGTAATACAGCGATTCCAATCATAACTGTGGGGAAAGAAGCCCAGTAAAATCCCACTGGTGGCTGTACTGGTGACAGTTTTGCTACCACAAGTGCACACCAGAAAGAAAAAAAAAAAGAATTACAGCAAACTAGGAAATGAGTGGAATTTCCCAGAGGGCCAAAGGGCAGACGGGGGCCTGGGCTCCATGCCCCGCTGCCGGTGCTCAGCGTGTGCTTGTCCCGCTCCCCAGTCTGGGGGGCTCCACAGTGTAACGGCCCCTTTCTGGATGTTTCTTCCTTGAGTGACGCAGGGATGTAGCATTATTTCCATTGAGTGAGCCGACCATCTGCCTGGCATTAACCCCAGAACCCTCCTTCTCTTACAGGCTGGACAATTTGCTTAATATGGCCTATGGCGTAAAGAGGTAATTAAAACTTCACCGAATGCCAGATGTCCATGTTGACAAAATTATTTATATTCTGTTTTATTTATTTTTGAAAGTCACTTGCTTTTGATTCAGTTCGAGGCTCCTACTTGAATTTCTTTTTTTATATTTTATTTAATTTCTATTTATATCCACCAACCACTATTCAAGATAGGAAAATTAAAAGAGAACCGGGGCACTTTCATTTCCTGATTGAGATGATGGCCGCCGTTTTGAGTGTGGGCTTTGCCGCCGTTTTCTTGCGATTGAGGTTTTCTTCAGACTTTTTGCCACGTGTAGTTCTTGATTTCAGGCACGGCCCTTGATTTAGGTGCCCTTCCTATTGCCTGCTGTGAAGCTCAAAGCTGCTCTGCTCTGGCGTTCCTCTGAGCTCTCAGCTCAGTGTTGAAATATCCGTAAATCCCTCACACCGTGAAAGCGTATCTGTGACACGCGTTAGCGGCATCGTGCCCGCAGCCGTGAGGCAGGCTTACCCACGGGCGGCCGCCAGTTCGGACCAGAATTTTGCCGATAATGAACCTCAAGGCCCATAATTATTGCCATCAGTGGGGGGACCCAGGGCAGAATTGGGCTTCACAGCCCAGGGAAGTGAGGCGACACACCTGGACCCCTGCAGAAAGCATAGCAGCCCCCCGCGGGCCGAGAGACCCTCGGTAACACAACCCTACTGGCACATTTCCACTGGCTACTGCTATCGTTTAGCGACTGCAAAAGGCAAACATGCTTTCTGCCTGCATTTTAACACCAGTACGCCTTAGGATCACACTGAGGGCAGATCAGTGCCCTACTGCAGACCGCCTGAATAAACAGCTTGCTTGGTTGTGAAAACAGTGAATCCTTTATATTCACTGGCTTACATTACAGCAATTAGCCGCAATTCCTGCTCTTGTGAATCAAGGGGCGCACACGGGACTGTGATACAGTGAGGCATGTGAACAGCCTCCAAACGGCAGGCTTCCCTCCAACCTCCCAGGGTCCAGTTCACTCTGGCATGGCAGTGTGATTTACACTCACTGGAAATGCACATTCTTAGGCCAGTTAAGTGTCAAATCAAAAACATATTTCACAGAGGGCTTTTTGAGAAAGCACAATGACATCCAACAACATTCTGCCTCAAGCTGTTCTAAACAGCAACTGGCTTTTTGGGAAAACAATAAAGACAAAGATCTGAGATTATTTGCCAACGGACGAAGCAGGAATCAAGATACCTCAACGGCGCAGACCTGCCTTAAATTAAAACGCCTCTGCTTGCTGGGCACGTCGCTGAACGTAATTATCCGAACAAAGGCAGGTTTTGCAGGCAGCTCGCGGGAGAAGGAGCTACCTGCACTAGGGGGTCTCCGTCGGCTGATGCACATGCCTTTGACTGTTAGATCAGCTGACTGCGTCTTTGTGAATGCCGCTGTGCGACGCCTCTGCTATGCAGAAATCGAAATGTGCTTAAACGCACGGGAGTCATTATCTGCGCATTTTGGGTTTAGCTGCTAGGATATAGTGTTGAATAAGCAGACAGACAAGCTGCCAGTCAGGTCCGGGTCGGTCGTGCACGCCGGGTTATCGATCGGTGTCAGCCGCTGCAGAGCAGACGGGGGCGCCTGGTATCGCTTCCCCCTCCCAGCAAAGCACACTTTCCGCTTCGTCGGCTCCGTCTCCACCCCCCTCTATCCACCAACAACTAGGGGAGAAGCTTCTCCTGGAGACATCTGCGTTTAAGCGGAAATCTCACTTACACGACACCCCAATAACGCCTACAGTCACTCCAGCGGGGACGGACCTTTTACGCGATTTACCGTTTACTTTAAGCGGAAAGGCAATTAAGTGAAGACAACTAACCACAGACATCTATGCATCTCCGAAAGAGGGGGAATATACAAGAATAATATAAAGAGGTTTATTTTGTGCACGACCAGCCTCCCTCCCTGCATTTTACGTGTTTTGATTCAGCGATCCCCCGTGCCTTGCTAAAGCCGACCAAAAGCGCCGTTCCCCCCTCTGTGCTGGCGGCATTTCGCAGCGCCGTACCCCGCAGTCGGCGCCGGCGAAGTGTCCGTTCATCCGGACAGCAGTTACGCCTGTCGGCTTTTCGGCCCGCAAAGAATATCCTTAGACCCCGGCCCATTGTCAATTAATTGCGCGACACAAAATTTAATGTTGAAGTTTGTGGCTCACATCAAAGTAACAATAAACGTCAACACCATGTCAGCCGAATAATGATGTTAAGCCATGGGAATGAAAGTTATAGATTTGCGTCCAGGCAATCCAAAAAAGTGATGCGGCTTTTTTTCATTATTCATTATTTTAGAGTTTTCATTATTTTACTTAGAAGTTAGATTTTACCTCGAGTTTTGCCCCCTTGTGTACTGGTATCATAAAATCTTATGTAAAATAGAAAAAAATAAAGAACTATGAACCACAGATATTCACATATTGTTCATCATCTAAATTAAATACGTAGAGCAATCATTTCAACATTTATTTGGATTTAGTCGTGGAAAAAATGACTTTTACATACCATTCACGTCAGGATCGATCGATGTTGCAGAAATCGGGAATAGGTGTTGACCAATCGCATTGCTCGCTTCAATATCCTTCGGCAATCATCGGGAATCGTCGTTTAAAGTCGGTAAATGATGCCGTGTATTGGTGACAACATCGCAGCGCAGGCAGCAGGGCGTGATCGTTTGGTCGGGGCGCGCGCTTCTCAGAGCAAGACTAAGCCTAAATCAGCGACAAGAGTGAGTAGACATGTCGTGAAAAGCCTCATACAGCGTCAATTTTAATGGGAAAGACATTTTGTGTAACAGGTTGATTTTTTTGTGGAAATAATGAAAATTTTTGCCAATAATGAAAATTTTTAGCGGCGGCTGTCAAGACATGCGGGCGGTGGACGCAAATCTATAACTTTCATTCCCATGGCCTTACATAGTCTTAATTTTGATTTCCGGTAATAATTAATCATCAGCCACAACAAATACGATATCCATGTCATGTTTTAAATTATAAAAAGACAGTTTGTACCTTGTAGATCCATCCTTATAGTGTGAATATGATACTTGATGCTAAAATGCTTAAAAGTTATTTTTTTTCCCATTGTGAAACGGTTTTGGGTTGCTGTTGTTATAATTTCACACTGTTGTTTTATCATTTTCGTACATCCTGATTTTGAAGATTTGAATTCAGTGTTTTTCCTTAATTTTTTTTTTTATATGAAAGGTGTTCATGTTTAACGTTACTGGGTATCTGTCCCACTTTAGCCTGCAGGACAGTAAACCCAGCATAAGGTAAATACTACATATAGAAACTTCTGCCAGCATTAGATATTGATCTCTTACTGCAGTTGCTGCAGGCAGGGAGGAGTGCCCAGCTTTCACTGTGGGAATCTGCTTTTTTCATTGCTTAATGGTAGCTCATCTCATTAGCACAGCTTTCAACTGACTTTGGATCTCTCTTTTTTCCCTGTCCATTCTTCCCGTCTGTCTCCATTTTTCTCGCCTGATCTAGGTTTTCCCCCATAACCATCGACAGCATGACAAGCCTGGTGGGCATGAACATCCCCGGACACACAGGGACGGGATGGTGCATCTTCGTCTACAACCTGTCCCCGGACTCGGATGAGAGCGTCCTGTGGCAGCTCTTTGGGCCGTTCGGCGCCGTCAACAACGTCAAGGTCATCCGCGACTTCAACACCAACAAGTGCAAGGGGTTCGGCTTCGTAACCATGACGAACTACGACGAGGCGGCCATGGCCATCGCTAGCCTGAATGGGTACCGGTTGGGTGACCGCGTCTTGCAGGTCTCCTTCAAAACCAATAAGACCCACAAGTCTTGAAGGCCATGATGAAAAGCCCGTTCGCCACCGACACCACCGCCCAACAGCTGCCCACCACTGCAACTTCAGACAGGAAATCAAACAAACAGAACTGTAAATGGCTTATAATATAACTTTGGACCTATAAGCCAACGCTGCCTAAGTATTACTAAATTAAGAGAGAAAAAATAGTGATTTGGAAAACCTATAACATTGTGGGTTTTCTCTTGTGTATCTTTTCCGTTATTATTTTGTTTTCTCTTCTCTGTAAACAGTAGCAAAACCAGTTCCCCATATTTCAAAGAAGAGAATGTTCTTACTTAAATTCTATTTTCTTGCTGTTGTTTTAGGATTTCTTTTTTAAATCCGGATCCACTGTCCTTAGAATATTGCCTTCCTGGGAAATTTAGGGAGGGGACTCTTTATAAAGTAAGTGACCGCTCATTCATTTTCCGTGGGATATGGATACCCCCGTTTAAAGTAGTAGGGATAACACAAACATTTTTTCCTCTGATGCAGAAAAAAAGAGAATTTCTAACATGTTTTCGTTTTGTATTACAAACACGTCTTTCCTCACTGGGGATTGGGAGCTGGGGGAGAGGGATGGGATGGGATGGGATGGGATGGGATGGGAGAGCTTTCCTGATGACATGACACGTTAGGTGATTTAAAAACCACTGTTGCCAAAGAGAAGATCTCTTTGCTTGAAAATGCGTTTAGAAAAATAAAAATAAAGAGAAGAAAATCTATTTTTATAAATATTAATTAAAATAATAATTATTGAAGAATTTTTACATGAATCTGGATTTGAAAAAAGAGAAAATATTTTGACTGGCTAATTTGGGAGGGGTGGGTTGCCACCTTGTCTTGTTCGTTCTGCTGTGGAACTTTTTAGGATAAGAGGTTGTTTGTTTTTGGAGGACTGGATCGGTGATGGTTACGTAGGCGGGAGGTTTTCTTGAGGGATGCAAACACAGGCAGGTGATCGTAACTTCGTAACTTTTCTTAGTGCGTAGCTATCCGAAGGCGAGGTCCGATGGGGGAGAGGGTGCAGGGGGCATCCCAGGCGTAAACGTCCTCACAGTCCAGAGCCCAAACCAAGGCGATGCGTTGTCTACTCGTTTTCTGTCATCAGTCTACAGAATATCGGTAAAGAATACACATGTCCATTTAGAAAACACACCTTGTTTTTTCTCCTTCTTTCTTTTAATTTTGTGGAAAGGAAAACGTTTTCAATGAAACTTCCTTTTAGCGATCAGCAGTAGGTGCTATATAACATGACTCACATATCTTAAATATCCAAGTTTGTTGTTCTATGTGTTGTTTAGAAAAAAACTTCGATGTTGGCATTGAATTGAGCTGCTGTTTTTTGTTTTTAATTGTTGGCCCTCATCAGGACTGAATCGGGGCCTTGTAAGAATCACTTAACACGTTTTTTTGGCTTGCTGACTTTTAGGTTAATTGCTGAGTGTGAAGCGTTTTGTCAGAATTCAATAATTAGCTAGTTTTGTTAGTCTAGGTATTTGTTTCCACAAAGGAGCTATTTAAAAGGTACAGCTGTGTCTTTATTTGTTGTGTACAAATGAATAATATATAGTCTGATTTTTTTGTTCCACAATATCTATATCTATATGAGTTGTCAATGTTTTTGTTTAAGCTCGTCTTTTTCATATGACAGCTTTATAAAGTGATGGTTCAGTTACTTAGAAAACTCGTGAGGAATCCTGTTTAATATGTTGTCATGTCGCTTGTGGAAAAAAAAATCGTTTTTGAATTTACTTTTAGTTAACTGCCGCGGCAAAGAAAAAAAGATGAACAAAAGCTTCGAAAATAATTGTATTTATTTATTAATCGATCGTTTCATGGATTAATTTATTTATTTATCTGGATTATTTATTTATTTGTTACGTTGTCTGTGTTCTTGCGTGATTCTGGTATGGGGAGGGGGGAGTATCTGAACAAAAAGGGAACAAAATGACTAGGGGGGAGGCTCTTCCATTAGTCCAGTGCACTGAAACCTTTTAGAACGTTTGTGCTTTGTACCAATATATCGAAATTACAATATAAAAAATAAAAAAAGGGGAAAACAAAAAAAATGTCAAGAGGGTTGGTGACGCTCTTCCCTGATTACTAGAAAACAGTTACTCGCTATGCATAACCTAGTTGATAGTTAAATTTGCTATTGCTTTTTTCTTGTCTTGTTACACTAAATCTTTAAATCTTTTTCAATAAAGTTTAGTCTTACTAGAATGTTATAATGGTTGTTCTGGTTCAATATAACCTGTGATAAGTTTGTGTAGTTTTAACAGCCGCTCTAAGCCCTCCCATCACACACTACTGTTGCTTTACGACAAACTTTATGCAAAAATGAGGGTATGAAGTGTAGTTTTAATAGGTTCCCTGTGAAGCGGTTTTTACGGCGGTACTGCAGAATATTTTGATCAAATTACTGATTTATACGGCGATACCAATATTTGATAGGAGGTGTTAGAGGTGGAAGCGTGATCCCTTTTGTATTTTGATGCAGGGAATAGTTTGAGGAGCGGGAAAATGGGTCTTTATGCAACACAAGCCTTTGTGGGAGATGATTTCTACTCGCAAATACACACCCACAAACGCACTCGAACACATACCTTTTCTTACGTTTTCGAGTTCTAGCCAACAGAATCTCACATGTCACTTCCAGTCGACGTTCTGAGCACAGAGTCGAAGTCGGGCCCCTAGACGCACCGGCACAGCTGGGGTTTGTGGACCGCGTTCTGACCCCAGCTGTGCATCTCTTCCGATGAGTGTGCACATCTTCTTTTCCTTTGATGTCCTGAGAGGCGCGCGTGTGCACGCCCTCTCCAGACCCTCGTCCGTGTGTGCGTGTCTTGCGAGTGCGTGTGTCTGTAGGGGTGTTTAAAGCCGCGAGGTTAAGGCATTGGCCTGCCCACTGTGGCACATATCACTCCCTGGAGCGCCTTACAATGGCAGCCTGCCAATAGGAAACCAACAACCAGTAGTGTGGGAGGGAAGGTCAAGTGAGGAATAAGGCTCTTGTCATTTAATTTCTTCCTTAAATGTGTTTGTTTTACTATCTGAAAATCTATAAACTCTTTGAAGAAAAAAAAAAGTTCACTGGACCGAACTGGTCTCTCCTACTTATGTTATTACTTATCAATTATTATAATTATCATTATAATTATTGTTATTCTTATTAATATTATTATTAATCAAATTACTGCGATGAATGACTTCATGTTATCCTTGCTAGTTTAGGTCATTTCTGAAACTGGAAACAAAATGAAAAAAACTTGCTGTAAATGTTTTTGGTTATTTTTGTTTTTTTTTTTTCATAAAATTGTTGTGTTTGAATTATTTGTACTTTTGAATGTTGGGACAATAAAATGAGGTGTTAAGAGGTGTGTCGGTCATTACTGTTAGTGCAGAAATGTACTCACTGGGTGAGCAGTATTTCGGTGCTGTGACGTATGTCTAAACTTAAATTTACCGTCGCTCAAACTTAAAACACTGCTTACTAACCAACCAAATTTTGAATTTTTTCAAACATAAATAAAACTGTGGAGCTGAGGACAGCATAAAAATAGCAGTGCAAAACCCCCAAATTTATACGCCTGTCTATAGACCCTCATGGTGAAGAGCTTTATGTTGAAATATAACACAGACACATTCACCTGTGAAATCACAGCCCACCCTTTGTCCTCATATTTCCATAATGCATCTCCTTTATTGATATAATTTTAGTGACGCTAGCAAAAAATTCAAAGCTACAGAGACCCTTTGTCAAAGCTTGCATTTGTTTTTTTTGTTTCCAAACAGCTGCCTTTATATATATATAAAAATGATAAAGCGATCACATATTAAAAAGGCATTTTCACCAGGGTTGCTTTTTTTCCGGTTGTTAGTGGCTTAATGAGCCAAAAATCTCATCAAGACTCTAATATCCAAACATGAGTCACCCCACTCCCCGGCCCCCCCTCAGCCTTCTGTCCTGAACAGGCCTAAATCAGCATGAAGAAATGACAGCGACTTATTGATGTGCGTGTGCTACAGCTCTGTGGAGCAGAACTCCCTCGTTAACCCTGTGCTAACAGCAGCCACACTAAAGCTGCTTCTCACCTATTTATGTCAGCCATCAATATAGTTACCATTCTGACAATCTTCAGCATCACTATCACTCTAACATATTAACTGCAATATACAAGGTGTGACTATTTGTAGTCTGAATGTCCTTCAGTAAATTAATTCAATGCACAGTCATTATATAAAACATTAAACAAGCATTTGACAAGTAAATGAGAAACATAATATGAAGAAAAAAAAATAATAACGTACACTAAATATATCAAGGAAAATCTGAAAAATTAGTGAATGACTTAAAAATTACATGGCTGGTTAATTATGGCAGTTTGTTATGTGAACACCAAGGGGCTCTGAAAGCACACATCCCCCCCCCCCAACTCTATCGGCCACCCAGATTCTCGCCTCAAGCCTGCCTTTGCCTTTGAGCTGCAATGTCAAGCCTTCAAGGCTGGTAACTTTCCACTCTTATGTTCTTACGTTCCTCGGACTTCAATAACGGCAGTAAACAGCCTCAGCAAGCCGTGCCCTGAAATAAACACCACGGGGACTCACACGGTGCAACATGTGAATGGAAATGCTCCCCCCAACCCCCTGCGACTCCCCTCCATATGGCACCACGGCCCTTCATCACCCGGAGCTTTCCTCACCTCCCGGGGAGCCGCCAAGTCCTCATCGCAGTGGGGCCACGTGGGCAGGGCGGGCGGTGCGGGGGCAGCGAGGCTGGGAGCCGCAGGAGCCCGGCGTGCACAACGCTCCCTGTTTACACAGCGACAGACGGTGACGCTCAATAGCGTCCGTCCCCCAGCTTCGTGTCCTCGGCAGGAGAGATGATTCCCGCCTCTCACTGCTTCGCCCCCATCTTTCCCTAAATGCCTATTGAGGCTACGTGTTTTCTCGTCCCCCGCGGTGGTGTCAAACTTATTTTAGTTCAAGTTCAAAGACTACAGTGAGAGCGGTTTGAAGAGATAAAATGTGATTTTTACTCCGTGATGACATGCCGCAGCCCTGTTTTTAGACATCACATCCCCGAAGTTCACACACTGGAACTGTCAAGCCGAACATCTCGGCTTTGTCGACTGACTCTATAGTCATATATTATACGACACAGATTTACATAAATACAGAGAATAAAAAAAAGTTTTCTAGGGTGGATTTCATATGCATACTGAAAAGTATTCCAGACTGTAAGTTTGCACTATGAACTTTTTCAATAACTGTCTGTTAGATATGAATGTAACAAACCTACAATTGTTGTAAACAATTGAACATTGAATAATCAAAAAATTATCAAAAATTCAACAGAAGGCAATATAGTCACAGATCATGGTGTGACATATTGAGTATAGGTGGCATTCATGAAATGGGTTTAGGGAAATGCAAATTCCCCTAATACTCTAATCTTTTCATCATGATGCAGAGCTGAATTGGACAGCCTTAAGGTACAATACATGCTGATCTCACTCCACCCTCCTAATTACTAATTTATTTGGAAATCATGACTATGTTGCTGCAAAACACAGTCTACAAAAATGTCACTGAATGCCTCGAAGATAAGAATTGGATGGTCTTAATACTTCACAGTTGATTGCTACCTTTTCAGGACCAAAGTCATCATCACATTTCTGTTCTTAACGGACCAAAAACACACAGAATCACATTTTACATTTTGATAATTGGGGGGTACACCTACAGAACCGTGTGGCCTCTAGTTTCTCCCTGAATTGACACAGAATCAGGGACTCAACACTCACCCCCAAACCCCCTTTGACACCCCATCAATATAATCACTTCCCAGAGTGCTGGATAACAAGCAGGACGTCTGAGAGTCACAGAGAACACACCAAACTTATGGTCTCTCACCAGCATTAGCATTTCAGTCACGTTATTCATTATTGGTAAATCTGTATATTTTTAGCACATTATTTCAGCAAGTCATATGGTGTGAGGATCACTGTGGCCAGAGAGCCATGTGATACAGGGATTGGCCAGTGAAGGGCGGCTTTATTGGAAGTTGTTGTTTCCCGTTTTGGGAATGGTATTGGGAGATCAGTGCAACACACGCTGTTTCTGGTGGGTTTGCTGGGGACAGATGAAATTAAACAGCACAGCTATGGCTCTTGGGGATGCATCTAGGCTGCAGTCCAGGCAACTGGAGTCCAAACAAAACAGAACACATCAATTTATAAATAATGCAGAAAACAAGGGACAGACTAAACTAATCAGCAGCACAACCCTGCTGGTCACCTGACTACAGAGGAAGACGTCAGTCACACCCCTCCCACAATGCCCAGTGTTCCAGCTAAAATCTCAGCACACCTGACAATTTAAACGAAATGATTCAGTCTTACAAAAGCTTCACTGTCTCAGTCTACAAGCCTGAAGTCCTAGTCAGTCACATATTAATTTTTTAAAGAAAACTCACCCCCAAGCAAAAATATTAAAAATGGCCTACAGCACATGGAATAGAGCCGGTATTTGATCTGGCCCCTGGTTCATGTGACTGCAGCCCCAGCCGGTCTGGCCCCAAAATGAGTTATTTTCCAGCAAAGGGTTTAGGCCTTTCTCTTCAATCATGTTGTGCTTCTAACTCAGGGGTGTCAAAGTCCAATCCTGGCGGGCTGGAGCCCTATGCATTTTTGGGTTTTCTCTCATTTAACACACCTAATTCAACTCCTTGCAAGTCCTTGTGCTAATTACCACACAGCTCTTGAGCTGAATCATTTGTGGTGGAACAGGGAAAGAACTAAGCTACACAGGGCTCCGGCCCTCCAGGACTGGAGTTTGACACCCCTGTTCTAACTTGAAGGCCACACACCTGGACTTAGCAACCTTAAAACGAGACGAGGAAAAGGAGAGCTTCTTGATTCTTTTTTGGATGTGGTAGCAACGCGCCCATGCTAGAGGCCTGGAGGGGAGATAAATGAGCATCAGCATCTAACTAGCGTGGCTGGGCTCCTTGAGCGGAGAGGGGCAATGGAGGGAGGCCAACTCCATCTACAGCGCTAAAAAAAGATTCTTTCAGCATCAGGCACTTTGAGACTGCAGCCGTTTCTACATTCCAGTCACACATCTTTCTGAATGAAAACGCTGGCTGTGAGGAAATGCTCTCGTGAGCTGCTGAGCAGGAGTGCTCAACATGTGAAGCTATACATGGGATTGTAAAGCGCTT